GAAGAAGTAATCGAAGCTGTAAATGGTTATTTTGAGGAGCTTGACGAATCAGTCTATAGAGATGGCATTAATAGACTGGAACACCGCTATGAGAAATGTATCAGCCTTGGAGGAGATTATGTTGAGAAATAAAAAAAAAAAAATTTTAAAAACCTTGTTTTTCTTGGTCAGGCCGGAAACTTATCAATCCACCCTCGTAGTCAGGATAGGCTGGTTGGACACCTTCTCAGAAATGAAGGACTAATTATAAACGTATTAGAAACAGAAACAGGAGTTATGAGGGGTAGAGGCTTGCTTGAGTCTTCAAGAAGTGCAAAAACTGGCTCAAAAAATAGAAAAAAACTAAAGGTGCGTGCGTGTCCAAACGGTTATCAGGCTGACGATCTTAGAACGATAATGTCTTATATTTGGGTAGATTTTCCTGCTTTAAAACGATTTCTACACTAGAGGAATACTCTTCAGTTAAATGTATCACAATTAATTACATTCGCACGAAATGCGAAAATTAATTTGTTATTGTTCTCCTCTTTAGGTATTTAGCACTTTCAAACGACTCATTTCTCTCTTTGTACTTTACCGCGGTTCTATAATTTGCACGAGTATTTTCGAAATGAGCAATACACTTTAAAAATCTACTTAAAAATATGCACGACGTAACTCTCGACAACTACTCTACTGCACTCGGCAAGTATATGTATGGGTACATATTTCGAAAAACATACATTGCAAAGCCCTTGAAAATGCCTGACTATTTATTACTGAACTCGTAAGCGAAGTTTCTACTCGGCACTGAAAAGCTGAAACGATACTAAATCGATAAGTGCAATTTTCATTTGATGCTAGCTCTATGCACACAGTTATCTATGTACCTACGTAAGCCTAGCTAATCAGGATAAAGGCTAATAAATTATCAACCATATTTCTAAACGCTTGAACTTTACGAACATAAACCTTATTTTACGCATCATTGGTAAAAAATTACAGGGACAAAAGATTAATATGCTTAGATTTACAGATGATATAGCAATAGTAGCATCTAGCAATGAGGAGTTAGAGATAGCTCTAAATAAAAACGGTACTGTATGAAAATAAATAAATGTCAAACAAAATTACTGGTATGCAAGGGAAGAAAAAGTAAGGGAAAGAACGAACACAAAGATAGGAGACGAAAAATTAGAAAAACTGACTGATTTTAGGTATCTAGGAAGTCAGATAAGTCAGGATGGAAGGAGTAGTAGGGATATAAAGCTGAGGATACCACAGGGTCGAGTCGCCTTCAATAAAAAGAAGTCACTTCTATTCCCGCGAACTGTTAATTTAGAAATTCTAAAAAGGTTATTAAAGATGTTTGGAGCGCGGTGCTGTACGGGTGCGAAACATGGACAGTGGGCACAGAGGAAAAAAAGGTTAGAAGCGTTCAAAACGTGGTGTTACAGGCGAATAATGCGGATACCGTGGATAGAGAAGGTTAGAAATGAAGAGGTATTAGGAAGATTAGAAAAATAGAGGACTGTATGGAAGTCAATAAGAAATATTCTAGATAGGTTAGTAGGATAGCTTCTCAGAGACATATTATAGGTAAAAACAGGAGTTAGGTTAGGTTAGGTTAGGTTACTGTTCTCAAATAGTTAAGGATGTGGGTTACTATAGTTTTAGGGAATTAAATACCATCATACACTTTCGTTTTTGTCGATTATCATATTAAAATGAAAACTTTATGAATGAAACAACTAGCTCTGCACATTGAAATTTTAAATCCAATGAAGTCAAACGAGAAAAAATTGGAAGAAGAAACTGAGTTTTAAGATTACAATATCTGCTGAGGCAATTCAAAGTCCACACCATGACTCAAAAGCGTCGAAAATGAATTGCGCTTTTGTTTTTCTCCCTTGTAATCTATGATTCCATTGGCATGTATTAATATCTAAGTCTAGACGCTAAAGAGAACCTTGAATTATAAATTATGCTTCTTTGCATTATTGCCAAAGGGAATCTGTTCGTAGTGACCACAAAAAGTGTGCTCAACTCTAGGTAAATATTGATAGCGGTCGTTCAAAGTTTACAAAATTATAATTAATACAAAACCACACAATCAATTATTTACGAGTTACTCGATTTCACAATCTAATCTTATCAGTATATCTTTTTTTTTCTACATTCCATTTTAAAGGTCCAATAAAAATATAAAAAGGTTGAAGCAAGTAATAAGCCTTAGGTACTTTAAAATTTTCTGGATTTCAAAGTCAGTTGTTCAGTTTGTTTCTTAGGTGTTCCACATCAAAGCATTTATGGATATTAACTGGCAAGCGGTGTGTGTGAATATTTAGATGAGATGAAAATGAGATGTCTAAGTGACGAAATTGGATCTATGTCTTAACTTGAAAGCTCTGTTATGCAATTATGAGACAGCTTCAGAAGTCTTGTCAGGCAATGAACGGCAAATCCGAAATGATTAGAAATCTGTCAGCAATATTCCTCCAGTGAATGATGAACGATGATAGAAATTCGTACCATAAAAGGGCTATCAACTAATACGATCCAGAGCCAAAAACTTTTTCACATCTAAGAAGTTATATTTTACAAAAATTTGTTTAAGTTTTTATTTAGGATCTAATGGGATTAAAACAAAACAAGAACAACTTATATTCAAATAAGATGTGTAGGTATAAACTAACTTGTGTGTCTCGCCCTAAAATCTACACTGGAATTACAGGAAGAAAAGAAAAAGTCAAAAATATACTTCATTAGAATCAGGATAGGAAAGAGTGGAGGTGCGTGACTAACCAGTCTTAGGACTGACGACCTTAAGATAATGATGATGAGAATCTAAACTGATGCCGATATGATTCAGGTCTAAAGGCCATCGTCGATTGGAGTTGATGCTTCCTAACGTTTTGGTAGCACGAGTTTCTTCAGAGATCCATCCATCTCCGATGTTGGATGTGGACTGTCCACCGACGACGGCCTTAAACCCGAATCGGGACAACATCAGTTCACCTACTATCCACGAAAGTTTTTGCCAATTTGTCAGAATAAACTAAGTTTAATATTGAACGACTTTAGTAGATGTCAATATTACACCCTTACTAAAAACACTTTAAGCTGCGGCTACAACTAAAACTTAACGTCATCTTAATAAAAATTACATAATAACAGTAGATATTTACTTTTTAAGTCGTCCACTCTACACTCCGGCTTTGCACTATAGTGGTAACTCGTGGCAATGAAACAACCAAGTTCTTTCCAGTTTTAATCGAGAAACACCTACCACTGTATAAAAGAATTTACTACTCAATCATATTTTGAAACATTTTTGTGCCAACTTTAAGAATTTTCAAAACTTTTGGCAACAACCTTTGTCTCCAAATTACAGACGAATATTTCTTGCAGATACACACCGTTGCAATGCGGAGACTGTGGTTTTTCGTCAAGCTTCTGAGCAGCGTTCTGCCTCTTAATTTATGTCTTCCTGCATCTCATCATGGCCGCCATCACTTCCCGGAGCCGTACGTCGAAGCTCTTCACATGGCGAGAGACACGTTCGATCCGCATCGCGATTCGGAGGAGTTTCGTCGCGACGCCACAGAAAACGTGAAAGATTTCAATCGCCGTGACTCCGAAGACGACTCGTTAATAGTACAAACTGGCAAGGGTAAAATACGGGGTGTAACGTTGACCGCGAGCAGTGGTAAAAAAGTGGACGCGTGGCTTGGAGTGCCGTACGCACAAAAACCGACGGGAAACCTGCGTTTCCGACATCCGAGGCCTATCGAAAAGTGGGATCATGTATTAAACGCAACAAAACAACCCAACTCGTGCGTTCAAATAATAGACACTGTTTTCGGTGATTTCCCGGGCGCCACAATGTGGAACCCCAACACGCCCCTGAACGAGGACTGTCTCTATTTGAACATAGTCGTGCCGAAGCCACGTCCAACAAACGCGGCCGTCATGCTGTGGATCTTCGGGGGCGGTTTCTATTCCGGCACGAGCACCTTGGAAGTCTACGATCACAACATAATCGTATCGGAAGAGAACATTATTTTAGTTTCAATGCAATACCGTGTGGCCTCCTTAGGTTTTTTGTATTTCGGCACTTCAGACGTGCCCGGTAACGCGGGTCTTTTCGATCAAATGATGGCAATCCAATGGGTCCATGATAACATCGGGGCGTTCGGCGGGAACCCGAACAACATCACCCTCTTCGGAGAATCGGCCGGTGCCGTGTCCGTTTCTTTCCATTTACTCAGTCCCTTGTCGAGGAATTTGTTCTCGCAGGCCATAATGCAATCCGGTAGCGCGATAGCTCCCTGGTCCGTGATATCCCGAGAAGAAAGCATCCTGAGAGGTCTGCGACTGGCCGAGGCGGTCAATTGTCCCCACGATCGCAGCAACTTGCAAGCCGTCACAGATTGCCTAAAAAAAACCGACCCCCAAACACTTGTAGACAACGAATGGGGAACACTGGGAATATGTGAGTTTCCTTTCGTTCCCGTCATCGATGGCGCATTCTTGGACGAGCATCCTGTACGTGCTCTCCAGAATAAAAACTTCAAGAAAACCAATTTACTAATGGGATCAAATACGGAAGAGGGATTCTACTTTATCATCTACTATTTGACGGAGCTCTTCCCGAAGGAGGAGAACGTCTACGTGAACAGGCAGGAATTTATGCGAGCCGTAACCGAACTGAATCCCTACGTCAACGGGATCGCCAGACAGGCGATTGTTTTTGAGTACACGGACTGGCTCAATCCGGACGACGCCGTAAGTAACAGGGACGCGCTCGACAAGATGGTCGGGGATTATCAGTTCACCTGTCCCGTAAACGAATTTGCTCACAGATACTCGGAAACTGGGAACAATGTTTACATGTATCAATTTAGACATAGAACGGTGGCAAACCCATGGCCCTCTTGGACCGGCGTCATGCACGCTGACGAAATAGCTTACGTCTTTGGCGAACCCCTCAACCCAACAAAACAATACACACCTCAGGAAGTCGACCTTAGTAAACGAATAATGAAATACTGGACGAATTTTGCCAAAACGGGGAATCCCAGCCTGTCGCCCAGTGGCGCCTGGACTCCCACATTTTGGCCTGTTCACACGGCCTACGGACGAGAATATTTAACACTGGACATCAATTCGACAGCTACTGGAAGAGGGCCCAGGCTCAAGCAGTGTGCCTTCTGGATGAAGTATCTACCTCAGCTTACACAAATGACAGGTATACTTCTATTTATATTACAGTCAACAAAATTATTTATAAATTGCTAATGCAAAATAGAGGAAATTAATAACTTCATTTAATTAATCTATAAACATACAAATATCCTACCTAATAATTTAAAATAACTTAGATATTATTTCACTTTTTTCTATTCATAAAGTTAGCCAAAAACTCATTTAAAATTCAAGGGTCTTGTCAAAACAAAATTAAATTGTTCGTCAAAAGTTCGTTAAAACTATCTGATAAGGATCATTGACATATCATGAATACTCTTAATTAACCCAATTATCCCTGTACATGACGATTTTATTGTTTTTTGCGTTATCACTTCAATATTGAAGCTTGAAGTCTATTCAAATCGATTTAGAAAGTTTCTAAATATTCTGGTACCAACGTATACGATTACTTAGTTATACGGAAGTGTGTCCATTTCAAGTTTTTGTCACTTTTGCTCATTTTAGATATCATTTTATCTAAATATACCCTAAAAAGTTTTATAAAACGGTATTGTTTTCATCTTGTAGCATCGCTTCAAAACAACCAAACAGAAAATTGCACAAATGGAGTAGGAAAATGGACGCAATCGTTAACATCACTTTTCCTACTTTTAACTGCTTTAAAAGGATTATCCCACTTAGTGGGATAGTCAACGTTTCCTCTCCACGACATCAGGACTACTGCAGCCAATGCGTAAATTGCTTATTAAAAATATGTTTAATATACCTAATACCATGCGCTAGGAGTAAGCGCAACCTTTGAAATCACGAGATAGGCACATAAAATACACTAAAGGAAAACAAAACAAAGGAAAGAAAATGATGATTTTATATGTGAATATATATCTTTCGAGAAATTATCGAAAGAATCAAGCAAGATAAAGCAAAGTGAGTAACGCTAACGTTAAACTCTAGGGAAAGTACAAATTCTCATTAAAAAACTTTCGTCAATTTGTATAATTTCAGTTATATACCAAGTGTCCCATTCCGGGAAATTAAACCGAATAAGTTTAAGACATTCGCATATCAAAATAAACATAAAACAACAAATAAAATTAATTACTGACAAATTGCAAATCAGTTTTAAATGCTAGAGTTTATAACAGTCCACTGGTGAGTAAACCGAATCATTAAAATAAAAGCAACTATTTCAAACTAAAAAGAATTTCTTTTATTCGTGCTTTATAAAATCTATAAGCTTGTTCGGTGTTGTACGTACAATAGCTTTAATATAAAGTAAATGTCACTGATAAGGAATTTATAAGAATATTTTATTTTTCAATATTCAAAATCCACGTTTATTTTATTGCTTCTGCAAGACCAAATCTTCAATCATGATTACCGTTATTAGAATATTAATAAATATATTGTCGCAGCCCTAGATTTCGCTTGAACACGATGTTGTAACGATGTAGTAGGTATGTAATTAATAATAATAAAAATTATCATTGTAGAGACAACAATTAATAAAAATAATAATTGTAATAATAAAATGAAAATGACGCGTAGCATGTTTTTGTACTCCACTAATTGTGAAGAAAAAACACTTTATAAACATATTATTATGTACTTCTATCGCTATCTATCTTTGCTGCCTTATAAAAATCATATAATAACTAAATGATAGATTAATAAGATTTTTGTAGTAGCCCTTTTTTAGGGAAAAGATTAATAGTGTTCCTAGTGCCTCCGCTAATAGTAGCAGAGTCCTTCGGTACTTACAAATACACTGTGAATTATTAACGTACGAGTACCTTCTGGTAAATCCGGCTCGAAGGACCAAAACATCATGACCCCTTCTGATGCCTAAAAATGGCAATGGTCCACAATTACGCAATTGAAATTATAGAGGGTACTACTGCCATGTTATAGAATAGTAACACGATAACTGTCAATTACTATTGTTTTTTGATAGGATAAGATGAAAACCCCACATTATTAATTGAGTTTTTACTTTGAAGAGCTTGTGTATTTTGTAATACAAGTTTTTTGTTCATATATTTGTGAGTACCGAGTAAACTTTCGACACATCGCGTCACGCGTAAATAAAATTCATCTTGAAACATGCACATCTATTTAGAAGGAAATGTAAACTGAACTGTAAAGTGCAAACGGCCATACAAGAAAACACACATAGAATTTTTGTAAATATATGGTCCATTACTTAAGAGAAATTTAAATTGTATTGAAGAAAAGGAATTCCAAGCTTACTGTACCAAAGTCATCAGGAAAAACACAAAATCTTAATGATAATTTTAAAATCTATCGAAATTCTAAAGCTCAATATTAATGTTTTTTCAAAAATAATAGAAATATTTTGTTAATCGTGCAAATTCTTGAGAACAAGTAATCTGGGAGTTAAGAAATGATAAGAAAATCGCCAATAATTTGTAAACCTAAGCTTTTTATGGAATAAGTATCTTAACAAACCCACATTGGGTTTGCCATTTTCCGAATTGAAAGGTTTTACCAATTCTAAACTTCAAATGATTAAATGATCATTCAATTCATGGAAAAATATAAAAACTGTCCTCTTAAAAATGGTTTAATTTATAAAAGCAAGAAAATGTGACTTATAATTAAAGGGTTCAAGATTATCGGTTTAAATAGAGAACAAAAAAGAAAGATATGAAAAGAAAACAATTCGTACCTAAATTAGACCTAACATATGTATTCATTATTACTTAATGTCCATCAACAAAGAAATAAAGCAACCAAATAGATTATTATAGATGTACCTAATATAATAATAGTTTGCTCATATCGATGAGATTGTGATTGTACTGTAGTTTACTGGACAACTACTACCTACTCTGCACTCTCACTTGAACATAGAAATAAAATATCTACTGTCATGCTAGCTTTAATATTACTTATACTGATTGTTGATGATTTAAATAAGAAATACTGCAAAAGTATCTCACATTAGCACAGATTCGACCTAAATTATCACGAACTGAACTTTTCCAAAATTTATTAAACAAAAATAAACTAGTTTGTGTTTAATTTGAGTTAGTTACGTATTTAAATTTGGTTCGCAATTTACGAAACTTAGTATATTTTGTTTAAAACATCTCCGAAAAAAAAATAATTTTAATTATTAAAAATTGAATTGATGAAGCTTTTGGATATTGTAACTCCATTTTAATGTAGAAAATAAAAACACAAACGCAAGTTACAAAGATGTTTATCGTAGCAGAATGTACAAGAAGTATTTCTTCCATCTGAAGAAGCCACTGTGTGGCGAAATGTACATTGTGGTACAATAAACATCTTTGTAACTTGTGTTTGTGTTTTTATTTTCTACATTTTAATTATTGACTAAAAGCTTCGGCAAAAATAAAGTAAAATAAAACATAAGGTAACATGGTCCTTAATTTAAAATGTAAACTAATACCAATTATAGTCAGTATTTCTTGTTTTATTTCATATGGGTGTTCATTATGATACATATCACTGTAGACTGTAAGTTAGGAAAAATAATGAACATATCCTGCATTTTCAAGAACTCCTGCATTTTTTTTATGATATGTGATAAGTCATTCGTTTACAACTGTACTATGATAAGATGCTTAATAAAGGTGATAAATCAATTTATTGTTTTGTAGTGCCAAGCTATGATTCTAGCGAGTTTTATTGTTTTTAAAATATTGCATTTACCCAGCATTTAATAATAATGTGTGTATAAATGAAGCTGATACCTATGTTCTTACATTAAACGGCTTTTAAAAAGTTGCTTTCTTTATTCAATCTCGCTAGGACGTTAGCAAATTAAAATATTTATAGGCAATGGTAGTCAATTATACTTATTATACATACATATATTTATTAAGATAAGTTTATTGTTGTTTTACAGCTTAAGTGAAGAAAAAATGATTAACTAATGCGTGATATACATTCACAGCTTATAGTGGTGTTAAATGTCTTCAACGATAAGAAAAACGGATTTGAGTGGTGTCCTGTTTATGAATCTTTGTGGAAATTCATTTTTCCAATTTAAATTTAAAATTATATTTAGTCCTTCGTATTCAGTTTCAAAAACCTTGCCATTTACAGAGCACTAATGGTTTTTTAGATTAATCTTGAGCATTTATAGAAGTTTTAGACAAAACATATTGAGTCAAGGAAGAGGAAGAGACCAATATTGCTTATTACACACTATCATCAACTAATTATATTAAATTTACTATTACTATGATTCGGTTTTATAATTTTAAAAAAATGTGAATTTAGCTACCAAACCTTCCTTCTAATAAAAATCATGGCTATTTGCCTGGTTCACAAATATACTGCACATATCTTATAAATTTTTCTTTTAATTGTATTGTTAATTATTATGTTCTAACATAATGAATTTAATTGTATTGTATGGGTTGTATTTTTAATTTTTATTTCTTTTTCGTGTACATCTTAGTTAGACAGTTAAAGAAGTCCTGCCGATGTGGTAACCGTTTATGTAAAAAGACACAAAATGGTCATAAAATGTGTTACTTAAGTTAAGCTAAGTAGTTTGGCCTAGTAAAAGATTGTATATTCCTGCTTTTGTTGAATCTGTAAGATAATAAATATGAAATTATTAAATACCGAAGTTTTATTTGTTTGTTCAAGAGAAACTAATATTTGAAGCTATCAAACTGTGCCTTCACCTATGTGCGTATATCGTCATCTAACACCCCAATCATTAACAATTAAGAAAAATTAATTAGCAGGTAGTAAAAGGTAAAGAAATCTTCATTTCCTTGATAAGCAGTAAGGTTTCGATGTTGCCGCCAGTAAACGAATAAATGTCATATTAAGAAAAATATGCAATAAAATCATATAACTGATCCTACCTTTTTCATTGAAGCTCGAAGGTGAATTTGGTTGTGACAAAGATTCTAGTCCTTGATGAATTCTATCCATAATCTAGAAATGAATAAAAATTCTGTTTTATATAGAAATAAAATAATCGAAACGGAATCATTACACTAATCTGTTCTGACATACTTTTTCAGTATGACAGGAATAAATTTTATATCATCAGAAAGGTACCTATCTTCCCAATTTTAACAATTTTATTTAATTTCTACTATTCCATAAGACTGGACATTTGTTAAGGCTACAGTCCTGTCCCTATCTGATATAACTGACTTCAAATAAGTCCCGGATAAGATAATTTTGGTTGGACTAGGATCAGAAATGTAACGTCCTAGAATATTTTTGCTCAATAAGGCAGCCAGACTTAGCCCAGATGAGGCTATTCTTTGTGGTCCTAATTAGGGTACATATTTCATTATATCTGCCGTAAAAGGGTTCAAGTAGGAGATTAACATGGGTGGTTACCGATAGGGTATAAAAGGTGCCAGCAAGGGTTGAAATAAGGTATCGATATCAGGATATGCCCCAGTAAATCCGGACCTGACCCGAATGCTGATAGGACCTATCCTTGAAATTTCCATTCGTGATTTACAAGTAAAATATAATAAAAGAAAATTACTTTTTGTAAAGATTGAAAACAGGAACAGTCCTAAGTACCTGCTAACATCTTTATAATTACATATGCTAATAGATATATACATTATACATGTACGTGTGTACATCTGAAATTTATGAAAGTATTCTTATGTAAATAAAGTACGGGAGTACGCAGTATTTTCTTTTCTTAGGTCTTATTTGAATTATTTGAGACCGCGAGTCATTTACTTTCCAAGAAACTACTCCCAAGCTCATGGCTACAAGGAGAAACAGTCTATTAAAGTAAAGTGCTAAGCAACACTTCTAATAAAATACTAGAATTTATGAAAAGGTTCAAAAACTACATATCAATATTGAGAAGCTTTATTTACTTAATTACTTTGTGAAAATTACAAAACGTTGAAGAAAAAGATGTAGATGAGTGTCCAAGGAGCTATCGCATTAACTAGGTACTTTATAATAATATGATGTCTTTATTAATAATGATATGGTATACTTTTAAATTAAGTACGAATCATTATATGCTGTGAAAAGCCCAAAATACTGCGAGATTCTTGAGAGCAAAATCGAGTCCAAGATCAAGAACAAAACCTATACTAATGCAGAAACGGAACCAAACTGCAGCACTAAAAGTGCAAGATGAAGATGATATAAAAGCCTTGTTCTTGGTTTTACAATTGCATAAAATAGTTTTTCAAGTCCCTTAATAATTTCTAATTTGTAATCGCCCTGCATTGAATTATAGAACAATAAGGTTTGTAGTGTAAATGAGATTTAAATAAAGAATTATTTGATTATGAAATAACTTAAATTCTGTTCACACTTTTCTCACAAAAATTATACTTATAAAACAAATTAATTTCAGGATAATTATAATATGTAATCCTGGATTTACGTAAGGATCTATTTATTTGAGTTTACCAAAGAGCTTCAATCTTTTTACTTTTTTTTTCACTTTTGTTATTACTGTCTTTAATTAATTATCAACAATTTATTAATCCAAACAATACTCGTTTTTCTCGATTCTCATTATTACCCGATTGATTAATTAAGTTTCAATCGATCCACGCGTTAAATTTACAAAAAAGTCGACGTAATTGGTTAGTGTTTCTGTCATTTAAACGGAAACTAATAAAGTAAAAGTGATTTCGCGCCACTTTCTTTTCAATTCTGTCAACAAATATTTGAGCGTTACTTAATTTAATTTGAAACGGTCATCAATGTTTGATCGGTCAGGGGCAGAAGTACGTGAACAAAAATCAGAAAGTTACGGCATTGAACGCTAAATTTCGTTAATATCAACCGCGGACATCTGCGTTCAAAAGAAAAAAAAATAAGGAAGCGTTATAAAAGCGATCATAGGTGATGTTACTAATTGTACACACCATATAGAACTTTCACTTTTATTTGTCCAACACAACGTATCGCTTGTGGTTAAAAAATATACAAGCCGGATCCGGCCTAACTCAAAATGGCATACAAACAAACTTAAAAAATAATAAAATTTCACTCATAAATTAACGAGTAACAATAGAGAAAACGATAGAAAAAAGGAAAGAGTGCGTACATAGGATTTATAGATTTAGAGAAAGCTTTTGACGGTGTTAAATGGGACAAGATGTTAAATATACTTAAAAATGTAGGGATGAGTTACAAAGAGGCAGTTATAAAGCTAGGGATGCAACGTAGAGAAGTAAATATTAGGAAGGGAGTCAGACAGGGATGCACGCTGTCGCCGCTACTTTTTAATCTATACATCGAAGACGTCATTAACATCATTAGAGGCAGTACAACTGTAGGGATAGGTGGCCAAGGGCAAAAGATTAGTGTGCTTAGATTTGCAGATGATACAGCAGTATTAGCATCTAGCAAGGAGGACCTAGAGATAGCTTTAAATAAAATGGAAGCGGTACTGACAGATCAGTACTGTATGAAAATAAATAAAAGTGAAACTAAAATACTGGTATGCAAGGGAAGAAAAAGTAGGGAAAGAGCGAATATAAAGATAGGAGACGAAAAATTAGAAGAAGTGGCTGATTTTAGATACCTAGGAAGTCAGATAAGTCAGGATGGAAGGAGTAGTAGGGATATAAAGCAGAGGATAGCGCAGGGTCGTGTCGCCTTTAATAAAAAGAAGTCACTTCTATGCTCGCGAACGGTTAATTTAGAAATTCGAAAAAGGTTGTTAAAGGTGTATGTTTGGAGCGCGGCGTTGTACGGATGCGAAACATGAACAGTGGGCGCGGTAGAAAAGAAAAGGTTAGAAGCGTTCGAAATGTGGAGTTATAGGCGGATGATGAGGATAACGTGGGTAGAAAAGGTTAAAAATGAAGAGGTATTGGAAAGAATAGGAGAACAGAGGACTCTGTGGAAGTTAATAAAAAATAGGCGAGACAGGTTGGTAGGACACCTTCTCAGGAATAAAGGTCTAGTCAGAGTCATATTAGAGGCAGAAACAGGAGTTAGGAGGGGTAAAGGTAGAGCTAGATTAGATTACTGTTCGTAAATAGTTAGGGATGTGGGCTGTTCTAGTTTTAGGGAAATGCGAAGTTTAACTCAGGATAGGAAAGAGTGGAGGTATATGTCCAACCAGTCTTAGGACTGACGACCTAATGATGATGACTCATAAATTAGACTGTGGTCAACACCTAGTACGCCTATTTCTTATTGATTCCCATAACGCCTTATGTTCTCCTACTCTTTCTAATGCCTCCTCATTTTTAATCTTTTTTATCAACAGTAGTTTAAGCATCCTTAGGAGGGAAGAAACTAAAACTTGTAATCATTTACATTTACATTTTTTCACGCGCCTAAAAAAGAGATATTTTTTCGGCTCATCAATATGAATCACACGCATTAC